TGGCTTTGAGGAGAGTACTTGTTAACTTGTTGCACCCTTGTTGTAATCACAGGCGTGAGAATCGTTTCTGCCCAGGGTGAGCACATGTGCAAGTTGCTCTTTGCGAAAGATCATCGCCAGGGTTGAGGTGAGAGGGCGAGGTTAGCATTTTAGATGGCCAATATGCCTATACATCCGCTGTCTGATCTGTTGCATGCTCATCTCAAAAAAGGATGCCCCTTCAAAATAGTCAATCGGGGGTGCAGTAAGAAAAAATAGCCAGTTGATACAAATGCGTCAGGTGTAGAAAGGCCATCAAAAGGCGTGTAGATGCTCCTTGAAAAGGCTTCGTTGTCGGGGTAGGGGGGAGCGTCGGCTGTGGATATTCACTGAGGAGGATGCCCTGTTGCCCCTCCCCTGCAGCAAACCACTGGTTCTAACTTTAATATTAATAGCAATTGCTGTTCAAGTTCCCACAAGACTATGACAAAGCGGGACCATGGTCTTGTGCTCTTCATGGGACTGTGAAACTGAGCACGTGGTCAGCGGACTTTGAGCGTGGAAATCAATCAATAACTGCATTCATTCGAGCAGCTTTGAGGGTTTACAGTATCTGTGTCGAACACGGACACTTGGTATCGCAAGACGCTCGATGGACTTCCACAAACTTAACTCTTTTGAAACCTTTAAGGAGGTGTGGAGTTGTTATGGCTACGGAGAAAACCTGGAGGACATGCTTGAGAGGGAGTTCACGCGGATGAAAGGTAAGAATTGCGTTCTCCTCTGAATTGCTGTGAGCGGTTTAAAGTTAACTAACAGTACAGTTCTTGTCATTCTACAAAGGCACTATATATTTGGATCATGCAGCAAATACTTTGTACCCAGAATCACTGGTCAGGAGCTACAGCCTTGATATTTCAAGGAACGTGTATGGTATGAAAAGCAACGGTTCTTTTTATTTGCCAGCTCATGTTACTTTATGAAGCGGTAATATTGATGTACGGCATCATCTTCCCAATAGGAAACCCTCACAGCCACAACGCCAGCAGCAGATTGACACATGAGACCATGGAGAGGGTCAGATACAGGTGAGCTCCAACCATGCCCTGAGACACATTCTAAATGGTCCCATGAGCCCTCTTTGAAACTACCGTGCATGAAATGAGTTTTTTTTTTTTTTT